AAGTCAAGTATTGACACATTGGTAAGGGAGTAGCGATTTGATCAACACTGTACAAACTTGCTCCACTCCTATCGATTCCACACTCCAACACCTGGCGGAGTACACAACTGAACGAATTCTAAATTTATCAGAACCTGGAACAGTCAATACATCCGACTCCGAAAGAGCAGTTAGCTATAGAGTGATCTCACCTTGTGGCGGTGCCCGTTGAAACCAATTACCACGAAGATTGCTCACTCCGGATTGGTAACCTCAGATTACGTTCCTCATAATGTACGTTTATCTCTCTGTTCGATCAGGATCAGTCATGAAATTTTTATTGTGTAGCTTTGGTTAATGAACAGCAGAGGAAGGAAGTAAATCCTATATCAACAGGATCTAGCCTTTGATCATCGGAACCGGTGACCCAATCCTTTATGAGGCAGGTGTGTCATCGAGCTAAAACAGTGATGCTCTGTTTGAACAACATTGAGTGACGGTGGCTGGCTCTGAACCTCAGACCGAGCGCATCGATCATGGTGACTTAGACACCACTACTAGTGTTGGAAGGTGCTACTCACATTTGTGAGTAGTACGCAAAATAATGCGGTTCGTGGTTTCCCCCAACGATCAAAAATCAACAAGACCACTGAGGGTAAATGACTGTGTCTCAAAAAATAAATACCGACTGCTCCATTCATTACCCGATGTGTTGCCAGGAACTGTGATGATATGCTCTAAATGAGATTTATTTTGTGAGCTAAATTAGTGATATCCCAACTGTGATCTGCAATAAACCACTCTTCTCGACCGAGCACCACCTTGCGGAACTATAACAATAACATCACTATTGCCCTGTACAAGAGCGGGTAAAATGATTTCCTGGAGCACATCAGCAAAGTGAACATGCGCTCATATATTATATCGATACTCGATATAATTTCATTATTTTTGAAAACAACTACTACTATTCTGTTATTGCAGGTCGAACTAGAGCGAAAAAAATGCAAGCCTATGTACCGGGGTGCTGTGAGAATAATGTAGTGCAATCCGTTGTCAAAACTGCGCTTGAACAAAAACATACTGTGAACAGCTTGATACCCGCGTGCTCCAGATTTCGATAATAGGAGCCAAAAGTAAAAATGATAAATTAATATGAGGTCCATTTTGATGTGAATAATTTAATCCGGCCACATGTGGAGAAATCTTAATCACTCCGGTTATACGTAAGACATTTTGAAGATCTAAAAACACAAAATCGGAAGGATTACAACACTTTACTGTGAACCGCAGCTCGGGTATTTTACCTTTCCAATGAAAACAGATTATCGAAAGCACAGTTTCAATTTTTGTCATAATAAAATGTTAGAAACTAATAATCCTAATGATGATTAATTTAATTCTTGGCTTTTTATTATTTTTTTACATTTCATGTATAGTGTCAGTTTTCTGATTGTTTCGGGTTCTTTTTTTTCATAGAATCAAGTGGTGCCAATACAAATCCGTTTGACCAGCTGGTTCGAATCCCAGCGCTTTTGCTGCCACCTCTCTCCTTCATTTTCGCCACCGCCAGTATTCCTTAATTGTTAGCATCTATCTTTCGAAAACTGAAGTTACCTCTTGCCAGCGACAAAGTAATTACGTACAGTTCACGTGTACTTCCAAATAAGTGATAACTGCTTCAGTATGATTTGTTACTGCAATGAAGGTCGGAAAAACAACCCCTCAAGTCTGTTTCAAAATCACGTCCCGTACGGTGCACATGCCCAGTTACAGGTCGGATAAAAAGTCTTTGTCGAGAGAGCGAGAGAGAACTCTCATGCAGTATCAGTGGTGAATGACATTACCTTTCGAATAACGCGGATCGTGTCCCTTATGCTTAGGATTGTTTCACAGTAAAAAAAACCCCAGATTGTAATCATAAAACGCATTGACAGAGACGTATTCCTTTCTGCACTTGTTCCAGCCCGATAAGCGTGTCATAGTGATGATGCAGAAACGTCACAGTGATGAACCGCATTTGTGGATGGACTATCCACAGTGCGCTCCCGTTTTGGACGATCGAGAGTATGAACGGCTCTGTGGAGGATCAATCAATGTTCATCTGTGTCACCGTTGTAATGTTATATCCCAGCCTAACGGAGGATGATAATGATTAGAAAAATCGATTGAAAGAAAACTTTTCTAGGAAGGTCGTGACAGAGACAAAACAGTACAGACATGTGTGCACAGTCTACAGCAAACTGGATACACATACGTGCACCATCTGATTGATACCCTGTATATTTGGCGCAGTAGAACCTCACTGTTTGTGCATGTGACTTATTTCCGGTTTTGACAGATGGGCCTAGAACGAACGTCCGGCGCTCGAGTGCCCAACCAGGTCATGTCGCCACTTTACAGTTACTATCTTGCGCTGAAGCAAACACCCGGTTCGTCAGACGACTCATGTGGTAAAGCCAATTTAACCCGTGATGTCCACAGATGCTTTATTTCTCGTCCGGTCGATCTCACCCTCAGAACAAGTATGATTGTTTCGGGTTGGAAGATTATAATGCGACTCACCACATAGTCAGTCCTTTGACACATTTAAGTGTCTCGCATAAGGATAGCTTTGCAGGCTTGGAAATAATTTTATCGGTGATGTCGCCTATATGACTTACAATTTCAAAACAAAACACCATCACTCGCTTTCGAATACCTCTAGCTGGATAGAGTTCACTTGCCACTATCGTCATACTTGCCGCAGGGCTGTTGAAACAGCTTTTGCGGGTCAGAATAAGCACCCAGAGTACTTTGGGGACTTTGTACATTTTGTGGTCAATGTATGATGTACTGTACAAGACAGGTGGACAAACACAACAAATTCACAGCATAGTTCCCATACAAGAAGAAAGCAAATATGAAAGGTTTCCGGAGGCGTTTTGGCACGACGGGGACTAACTGTCACATATTACGGCGCCTCCATCACGCCGTTCATCAAAATGAGGGGTGGAGCGGGGTGGGGTAGGGATAAGTGAATCGTCTGGACGACTGTTCGATAGCCAACCCAATGGAGGTCGATCTGAGCAGATAGACTCCCCAAGAGAGAGAGAGAGAGAGAGAGAGAGAGAGAGAGGGAGAGAGAGAAATGACAGCGAGTAGAAAAAGGATATCTGAGCGATGTAGAAAGAGGTCGGTAAAAGAGAATCAATCACAAACAATCCGAAAATAATGTCGAAAATGAAAGAGGCTAGATCCACCTGAATTCTAAGTATTGCACATTATCACAGAAATAAGGCCTCGGTTGGATGGGAACAGATTGACTGAATTTCTGGTTGATTCTCTTGCATTTGTGTTTACATAAACCCGGCTGGATCTAGTTCTGGACCGGATGGTCGGATAGCGAGGGAGCACTACAGGCGGTTGGACCAGGCAAGGGATTAGGGGAGTTCGCGTGTCGGCGTAAATGCTTCGTCAGATGATCGCTTCGGCTGAAGCGTCGGGGGCACTGATTGCAGACAAAATTGCGCTCGCCCGTATGTGCTCGTCTGTGCCGGGACAGTTCGTCCGATCGAGCGAATCGGCGACCGCAAAAAGGCCAATCACACACGTAGGGTTTTTCACCTAAAATTCGGATGAAAAAAAAATAAAGAAACAAATTATCACAATAATCCGCATCGTTTGGTTCATTGCAGTGAAAATTCATCGGGCGATAAAGCCGCATTAAAAGAGAACAATTTGAAACAGAAACAAAGAATGAAGCAATTAGTGGCTCGGTTACCATCGCGTCAAGTGTACTTTCTCAATTTTATATTATCCACTCAAACAACCTATAAATAAAATTAAGTGTAACGAAACCTACTTCCCGGTTATTCTAGTAGGCTGTGATGCTTCATGAAGCTATCGGTCTAGCTTTACAAAGGATTAAATGTGCTAGAAAAGCTTGATTCGAACCTTTCACTTAGGGAAAAACAGATCACTTATCAAATACCGTTTCGCAATTACCTAAATGCGAGTCACAACACAGACACACTCAATAATGTCATAATTCCTGTGACTTTTGCAATACATTCAATTCAGATGTTACGGGCTCTCAAGAATCATCTTTGAACACACGGACATACAAGAAAAACACCGATAAAAAACAAATCAAACTGCTTACCCGTGTGCACTCGAATATGCGCCTTTAAGTGGGAACTTTTGAAATAGGCTTTGTTGCATCCATCAAATGTGCAACGATGTGTCTTCACCCGGGTCGCGGTGGATGTGGACTGACTGATTGACTGGGGGGTCATGGTACGTGTTTGCTGGTACGAATGGGGATGACTAGTTGAGGACGTGGACGGACTGGAACAGAGACGATCGATTTTCGAGCATTCGGATTCATGCGAGGAGCCGTTCAAGGAAGACAAATTAGATGACGAGGAGAAGCAGCTTTCCAAACTGCCCTGAAAATACGAACAAAAGGATTGAGCAAAATTCTAGGGTCAGCGTTTGGTAGATATGATGACAGATGTCACGGAAATAATTTGGCAAATTACGCAAAAATGTGAATTCTAATAATCTGGTTAAAGATAAAAAGTAGAAGCTCAGCTTTTGTGGAACACGCGCTAATGGATTTTGTGGAAAGATTACTGCCTACGATTTGTAGCCTCAACGAAAAATCGGTTTTCAATGCTAAGCTTTCACTTGAAATAAAGTTTCGTAACACCATGAGTCAGCTCCGCATCGACTGAAAAACTAGCATTCGACAAATTTGATATGAAAGCACCCCTATTTTAGAAAACAGCTATCACTATGGTGTGTTACACCGAAACGCAATGCATAACCCTCGGTCTTACGATTAGATACAAATTACTGACAGCTTTGCTGCACTGATTGTGATTAGCGAAGATCCAGAAAGCAAGTTATCACCATGAAATCGTTATTGTGCATGAAATGTGACATTAGACAGCAATCGAATTCACCTATCAGCATTTCATCCGGCAGTATAAGCTTACAACTTACGGAGGAAAAATTTGCGATCAAGGCGGATGAGGAAGCGGAGCTGCAGCTGTCAAAATAGCCGGAAGAGTTGGACTTGGATAGTTGGCACGGAATAAAATAATCATGACTGGAAGGATCGGAGACGAAAGAATGAAAACCGTCTTCCGATGGAGGAACTGAACTGAAGAGACCAGTTTCGTTGTAGTGATTCAACGGCGGAGTAGTTTCCAGTCCAAAAACGGGTCGAGAGGACGGTTCGAGTGAAATCGATCCGTCAGTACCAAAATGCACATCTTCTGTGCATGTGGAATTTTCAACCGTCTGACCGGAAGTAGCGTATGCATCAAACAGACCGGAAGATGCACTGTCTCCACAACCGCTTTGAACTCGTCGCATCAGTTCAGAACACAACCAGTTGGCGGTTGGCATGTTCACCGGTAAGGGCACGTTCAGCGCATCCAATGCACCTCGCAGAACCGAACTCCCGGAGCGTCTGAGACCACTGGATCCGGAATCGATCTGCAACACGAAAATTCCGGTGCAGAATTCTGGTTAGCAAGCTGTTCGGATCATAATATATAAATAAAGGAAATAAGACAATTGTAAACTATCAATAATAAATCTGAAGTTATTTTTGCTCAAGCAACAGTAAATACACTATAAGCCTTCTGGATCCCCTCAAGATATCAAGATAAGAACACTGCACCTAAAGTGCTATGGTACCAACTTATCAGCTGATCCGCTACAACTAACGTGATAGCGATAATTTCGGGAGCATTTCGCAGATATGATAATCAACTTACCGTATCAGCGCTACAGCACACGGGTACTGCGGGTGATTCTGAGGATGTTAGACTCGTCGATTGAGAGTTTGACCGAGTTTGAGCAATGGATTTTACTCTGTCTAGTTTGAATTTCATATTCCTCATTATACTACGTTCTGTGGGTGAACCAACGCACGGCATGGACGTATCGTGTTCAACCGGATCGATTGCCATGGGCTCTGGTTCATTCGTGGGATCGGGTCGAGGAACCATCGGATAGGATTTACCAACGGAGGAGGAGGAACACTGAGCTGCAGACTTGGACAGAGAAAGGAGAATTTCGGCAATTTGGAACTCCCGAAACTATAATCCGAAGATAACAGGAAGAAAACAATATCGTTCAATTAACATCTATATAAAAAGAACAAGTTTGAGACAAAGTTCAAGTTTCGGTTTTTACAACACGAGACCAACATGGTGTAAACGCGCGGTTTGCGTTCATAAAATTATGTGCAACATATGCTTTCAACAAAATGGTAGTCATCATCCACCGGTGATTGCATTTGACTTCCAGTCAACAAGTATTGTTGTTCAATTCGGTATAAACCGTCTTAGTAAATTTCATACATGGTAAGCGTTTTCAGAAGGCCTGCATAATGTAACTACTGTGAATATATTATCTATTCTTGAACATATCTGAGTAAATTTTATCCCATACCTGACTGCGCGTTGATAAAAAGATGAACGATAATCCATCTTTGAATGAGTTTTCTTCTCTCTCTCTCATTACACATTCACCATTGTTGTTTCTCAGTAGAGTACTGAAACAATGGTTAACTGGTTCAAGTTCAAACAACTAATGCGATGCCCAATCGCAGGCAACCATATAAAAGTCTTGCCAACACACAAAAGTTATTCACCAAATAGATCGAACTTGTCAATCTTGGATAAAGTTGCTGTTAACAACAGCTGTTTTGCTATGATATAAATTATTAAACACCATCACAGAATTACGGATTTTTCGAATTCAAACAACCTCCGACAATATGTCCAGTGGATAAATATGGATAACATGAAAACAGAAAATATCCGAGATAATTGGGAATCTGCTAATCATGAGAAATCAAATTTAAGTTATAGAAAAGAAGAAAGGTGGAAACCAGTTCCTATTCCTCAGTAGTTGCGGGAAAATTCTCCACAGTAGAGAACAATATGAAATCCCCGATATAGAATATTTATTCAAGTCCACAAATCCACTGGCTATAGTATAGAGCGATTCCTTAATTCAATCAAGAATAAAGTACAATAAATAAAATTTCATGATCATTCATATTTTTGTGATTGTTCATGACTTACCCTATCTGTGTTTGGTTCAGTGATCTTTGTTTCGGTAAACCACCGTGTTGCAAACGCTACACTCATTTGAAGATGTAGATAAGGAGGAGTGGTGTGAAACAGGTATGTTGCGACCGTTGCTTGGTTGCAAACGCGTTGCGTTTACATTTCAAGTGCTCAACTTTTATGTATGGTAGACCGACACGTCTGGCACGGCGACGGCCTGAATGCACGCAGCATGCGGAAACGGTGTGCGTAGGTTTCGCCTTAACCAATCAGCTGACGATAAAGTTACGGCCGCACGAAATAAACCAATCAGCTGATTGCCAGCTGGCAATCACGCCCTCCTCGAGTGACAATGCTAGCCTGACCTAAAATGACCTTGAACAAGTATCAAGGTCATAACAATCGACATCGCTGTACCCGTAGCCACGCCATTGGTCGTTTTTCGTGGGTGTGTCGCCCTGCACGCACAACGTTTTCGCGAGTGGCTGATTGACGAGTCATATGAACCTCAACCCTAAACGAAAACCATTACTTTGTATGTGTGAATTCATTGTACGATATTATGCAATTAAGTCCTAGAAAGTCTTCTGGAAATTGTCTTTGCCATGTACAGTCCTTTTGTAATTGCTATGAGGATAAAATTCTGGAGACTGAGGTATTCTAATCCTGCCAATTAATTAAGCCATAATTCATATGGCTACATACCTAGGGGCAATTTTGTACAATGAGATGACAGGGATCTTTCAATTTCGAATATACTTGACCTGATCAACAAATTGCTGAAGAGCATTATTAGTAACTTGCTCACATAATGCACCACTTACATTCAACGTACCACCATTTTAAACAGAAATTTGATTGCTGGTTTGATTTTTCTTCATACTTTTCAGTGCATTGGTAACTTCATGGCGAAGATGATGAGCACTTTATTTCCTCCTAAAGTTTCATTCAGCTCGTTGGTTTGACGCTTCATACTACTGAAAAGTGGTCACCATTTGTAAAAATACCAACAATTAACAAGTAAGGAATTAAAAATTCCGTCGCAGTATTTCGTGTATGGTTATCTCCACATTTTAGCAAATAATGTCTGGGGATAATTTCACAGATTGATGAAATTCGATACAATAGTTGTCAATTGTCTCCAGAATACTGTCCTTAGGTTACAGTATGTGCCAAATGCGGAACTGCAGAACAATTTCATTCTGATGTATAATAGAGATTGATTAGATTAAAACAACCAAGAGGAGGGTATTAGTGATAAAACGCACCATTTGTCGGTATAATTAACAATAATGAACTGACGCCGGATTCGTCGGGTAGGAAAATAAACTTTGTTTTTAATTTCATCTTCTTGTTTTACTTCCTTTTATTGAATTTGCAAAGATACAGTTTTCAGGAAGAGGAAAGCGGCCAATCGAAGGACTGCCATTCAACACACAAAGGGGAAAGTTAGATGGTGGTAGTGGGATTCGAACACACATTTCTGGGGTGGTAACTTGGTGATGTTACCACCGGACCACCACAAAATAACAACCACGTTATTTATGGCATTACATAAGGTTGCTCAACGTACAATCAATTATAAGGTATAACCCACGACTGTACAACTTAAGTGTAAACCATGTGAGGCATTTGACGTAATGTATACTACTTCCTTGGACGCGTCGAACCTGTCGTTCGGTTTAGTGAACCATGTATTCCTGGTGATTTTCCGTCACCAATATCCCATTAACACCAACATGTGTTTGTGCTAGAAACTCCCTTATTTGGGGGGTTTCAATCAGTGAAATTGCTTTTTGCGCTTAGATTATTTGCATTTCATTCCTCGGTTAAGAAAAACTAGTGGAATGTGAAATCTACCTGAATTAGTATGAGTTCTACACACTGGAAGCTTAGAAATTCGGTGGACTCTGAAACCGTGACCTAGAACAATGCGCATGAATAAAACGATTTGATTGAATTCTTCTCGTCCACCATTTATTAAGTTATTTGAATGACCGATGGAGCACAAATTAGAGTTAATGTACTCCAGCACTAGGAATCTGAGCTGCTAGTAGACATTCTTCTTGAATTTTCTGCCGATGGTTTAATCATAGTTGGACAGACATGGCTATAACTCATCTCTTGCCCGAACCAGAAAATGAACTAATAAGCTATCTCTCTATTGTATACATTGTATATTGTATATGTATGTAATGTAATGTAAGTGTTTATATTTGGGTCTCTTATTCAAGAAGTATTCAAAAGTAAGCTGCACACTTGACAACTATCTGGGCGGCGAAAAATGAAAACATACACTGGTTCGCAGGGACTCGGAGATGAGTGTGTGTAAGAGAAAATTCATAGATTGCGGAAAGTTATCTGGAACGTAGTAAATGATCTGAGCAGTTACGCGTTTAAAAGGAATCGTGGAATACGAAGGAACATCTTTGTACTGCATTCCGCTAAATAGTAAATGTATTAAAGTTTCAAGGATCCATGCGATCGGTGGCCGCAGCCTAGGGAATTTTTACGATCAGTCTGCTTAAAAAGATGAGAGTATTTTATCTTGGATGAACGAGTGGTACATAAAATAGTGAGTCGCCCGTAAGGGACCATTTCATGAGACAAGGTATTGATAAGTGATGAAAATGTCCGTTTCGGACGGCCTCGGGGGCCAATTTACGTGTGGCATGATGTACGAAGGAGCATGGTTATTTTACCCTGAGGATCATATATATATATATATATATATATATATA